GTTACTTTTAAATGTATTTTTATTTTATTTTATCTTTATGATTAATGTTATTCTATGTTAAGATTTTTGGCGTATTATTCATTACCGGAAGAATTACTCACTTATTGACCGTAAACATATCTTTTTTTTGGTAGATTGCCTTTTTTAACCTTGCGAATATTTCCTTTTTTCATAACAATTACTTTCGCAAATATTATTGTGTTTGGTTTAAAATTACATATTACCGTTGTTTCTCATCTTAGGTACGACGTAATTAAGCATAAGAAAGGTGTAGCAATCAGTGACGCCATATTAGAAATTTTCACAAGTGCACGAATAAAAACCCGATATCCAAAACATAATGGTGAAGTAAATACTGAGGAGGAAGAAAATAGTGATGGCGTTGGGCCTAGCGGGACGAAAGAATAAATAGTCGCCATCTTTTAGGCAAGCTTTAGGTACAAATACTTTAGTATCTGAGAAATTGGATACTATTTACCTCCCATGTAGTCGTGCTAGGTTCAAGCTTTTTGTATCTGTAGAGCTTACCTTGACCGAGACGAAAATGAAATAATAAATATGTACGTAAATCAGAATCAGGTGATGTTGTACACATGGCCTCTTATTGATCATCCCACTCTTTTTTTTCTTGTATTACCTTTTTGTTACAACGCGGACGTATTTTTTCTATAAATGTCTTCTTTGCTCAATCTCGTTGCGAGATTTAATCTCCTTGCCGTACATACTCTCCGATCAAAACTCCTTTCCCTAACTTTGCTACGAAGCAGAAAAAAAATCAGTGTCTACAACCCCCATCCTCTATATACAACTTCCCTCCCTTTGCATCTATCTAAGTTTAAAATACGAAATATTGGTCTCCTGAGAGCGAGTTTCGCACCGGCTTCAAATGAATACGTTGCCATTCCTCTAACTGAAGGTACGAATTACGTTGTATCAACAAATTCCTAAACGAATAACACTTGTAGTTAAATGTTTTTCCAGTCACCAACTTTCCGCAACACTATGTTCTTCTGCACATCAATGATACATATGCAAGATTTGATGTTCACAAATTTGAATGCATCTCGGATCCTAGGTTCTAACGTTTTTTGACAAATTGCATAACGTCGTATTCAATGGTTTAGAGGGTAGGGACAGACTAAAGTTTTACTGACACACTTGTGGATGATCTACTTCGTATCGTTGAGCTGAATGACTGACATTTAAAGAACAGGTATGTAATCTGACGTATTGGGAGGAGCTTCTTTTCGGTTTGCCAAAACAACAGTCAATTGTGATAGAGCGGTGGTCGGGAGAAAATGGGCTAAGAACTGGTTTCGATCTCGCAGAACCTGATGGGAGACGAACAGTGCTTACAGCATTAATCAAAATTCGGCAACATTTTTTGAAAAAGTATAATTTACTATAATAAGAATTTATATTTATCGGAAATTATTTACGTGATATTTAAAATCAATTGGCTTTTATTTCACAAAAAATGTATATTTCTTATCAATAGTTGCTTGCGTACCAAAACTTTTGGGCATTTCAAATTTTGCTAAAAGTGATCGGCGTTCCGTTTTGGAACGTTGACGCGATTTTTACTACATACTGTATCCTTAAGTCGCGCGTATTGAATAAATTCGTTTCTATATAAAAACGTCAATTGCTTGTCATGTCGTTAGTATTGGAACTATTGAAACAGCGCTTGGGGTTGATAACGCTAAGGTTGAAGCTGAGAATGCGAGATTAAAAGAAAATACAAAATTTAAAAAGATTATATAGAGGATAATATCGAGTTTAAGGCCAAGATCATGAAGCTGGAACAAACTGTAGTCTCCAATTTGCTCATCATTACCAGTAACTTCTAAATTATCTACCCTACCACCTATTGATAAGGAACGTAAGCCAGTTAAAAGCTGAGCCCATGTAATTAAAAGATAAAGCATCGACGAATTCTTTGATTTAAGGTATAAGGAAAAGGGCATTAATAAAGCGGTTATTCTGAGCATTAAAGTAAAGAAGCATCGAGTGCAATAATTAATAGAAAAAATATTTCTCTCGAAATAAATTTCGTCAACAAATTTTTTCAGGGTATCACACTCATTCTTTCCCATGATCAGAAAAGCCCGATCAGAATCTTAACACCAGGAAGAAAGGCTTCTGATATCCGATGATGTACTAACAAGCTCACACCAAACTTCTTTCTATGTTGTTACGGGGGCGACTAGCGAGCCTGTCACTACGTCGTGCCTGGGCTCACATCGAGTCCCACGAAACATCCCTAATTCCTGAGGTGGTTTCGACTTGGCCAGCGTAACTTCGTAGCAAACTGTTCCTGAACCCTGCGTCCTGCCAATCTTTAGGTACACCTGATTCTAACCTATTTGTGCGATGCAAGTTACAGGCGACACATGTGTTTAACAATCACTCAACAAGTTTTAAGCTTTTACTTTATCTTTATTATTTCTTTTGGGGACGCGCGTCAAGATCTTCAATTCAAATTTATCTATTCTATTTATAGTCTAGTTATGGATCATCTTACCCGAGTATTTATTTAGATTTTGTTAAAATATAAACAAATCCAAATATACTTACCCATTTACCCGATAAAAATATCTAACCGACTACTGTATACTGTACTATAATTACTTGTGCAAGTGGTGGATCTCAAATCTTTTTCGATATGGACTACGTATAACCTTTCTTGATAATATATTGGATAGAGGTACTTCTACTAACACTTTCTTAGCATCGTTCTCATTCATTACATTGTGTGTAATAATCTTCCTTTATAGTATTAATCAAATGATCATATTCCTTCATTGCAGTATCTATCATTTCCTCTTTATCTGCTATTTAATTATCTAATTTTTGAAAACTCTGTTCATCTTCTATTATTGGGAGACAAATTTCTTCAGGCTCAAACTCTATAAAACTGGGACAATTTTTTACGTAATTCGATCATTCTATACAGTGGCAACCAAAAAGAACACAACACTTGTATGTCGATCATTAGTCACTTATTTTAAATCGCATTAATAACGGTGACGCAAGTAATCAGTCTTCGTAGAACAATTGAGAGATCTAACTTGGACAGAACACGTCGTAATAATAGAAGTAGGTACATGAAAATGTGAAATAATACCATAGAAATTTATGAGGATGTCCAAAGAATCATGTGACCCGTTTCTGCTTGTCAAACAAATAAAATTATATAATAGTTTTACCGCGATTTATTATTTTGATTTATTATTTTTATTTTATTCTTTATTATTTTCTTATTATGTAATTACTGAAATAATTTTATAAAAGAACAAGACAATTGATCAATAAATTAATCGATTAACTCTTAATCAAAATAAACATAACCTACACCTTTTGGGACACTTACCTTGATTAACTGCTTAGTCTTAATGACAACGATTGTTACAGTATATAGCGATCTAATCAATGTGTATATTGAAATAATGATTGAAATAAAATTTATAATCAAATTAATAAAAATATAATGTTGAATGTTTTAAATTACTTCTATATGACTTTGTTTTAGTTACTTAAAGTTAATTATAAAGTTAATTATAATATAAAGAATATTTCTTGATATTTAAAATTCGATTTAAAATATATCAAAGATATCATCATTATTGCTTTTAACATACAGTATTTAAATAAATGGTCGGGCTTAATAATATTATTATTACCTTAAACATTAAAGGATCCTATTTCAAATAAGTTTTTTTTTTTTTTAATATGTTTAAATTGTATAAAAAAATAATAAAATTTTTGTTGGAACCAAAATCCATTATTGTTGAAGTTTGATTTAAAGTAAATAATTGTTAAAGAGTCTTTATAAGCTAAAGTATATTTTAAGTTCATAGATTTTGATTGGGGTTTGAATTAGTTCTAATTGGTAGTATTAAGTTTATTGTTTGTGAAAAATTTTTTAAGTGTTGTAATATCAAATGGTTGAGATTTTTTTATAAACTTTGATTTATTTATTAAAGATTTCGTCAAAAAGAAATATTAATAAGCTTTTATAGTATTTTTTTCCAAGTTTTTTTTTCTTGTTAAATATAAAAACTTGATCTTTTGTTATTTTTTTTTTTTCATCATAGTTTAATGAGAAAAATAATTTTAGGTTTGACTAGAGAGTTTTGTCTAGTTGATTTTAAAAATATCAATTTATGCTTTTGAAAAAAATATAATAAACATAAATCTTTAAAAGTATTTTAAGAAAAAATATGATTTTACTAAAATATGTAATTAAAATTAAATATTAAATTTTTTATTTTTTTAAAATAATTGGTGTTTTTTGAAACAAGAAAAAAATTCGATACAAACATAATATACAATATGTTGTCTAATCCAGGATATTACAAGTCAGATATTTATTACGATACAATGGTAACCAATACATTCAACTTAATATACAGTAAATACTCCAACGCTATAAAATTACATTTACTTTTAATTAATTTATAGATTACATTATTTTTTTATTTTTTAATAATTATTTTTAATTAAAAAATTTACATTATACAGATAGGTTAATTCTATGACTTAAAAATCAACTTTTTATATATGTTTTTATATGTTAAATAATATAAAATAATATTTCTTTGAAATACGACATTAAATACATACATGTATATACAGTATATAATATTTAAATAATGTTAATTGAGATTATTTCGCTAATGCTAAAAATTTGTATTTAATTTTTTTTTTTATATTTTTTTAGATTCGTGTTCGTTCAACTATAATATAATTTTTGATTTTTTACAAAAAATTTTTCAAAAAACTTTGGGCATCTCGGTATTTATAGAAACACTACATACGATAAATTGTTTGATAATGTCTTGGCAACGAGAATTCACTTCCGATTAATTTCTTCGTCACTTTTAGTCATTAAGTTATTACTTATAAAATTAATTATGTAGTTAAATTAAAAATTCGAACATCGTTTTTATATGCATAGTAACATTAAGAGAAAATCTTGACAACTTTTATTAATATATCACATAACTTTATTACAAATAATTCCTTTTTTCATTAGTAAACCCGCGTATTTATTTGCTAATTTTACATAATTTCTTTTGTATGTGCAGATAAAGAAAACCTATTTTTATTGTACCTTTTTTGACTTTATCGACGTCACTTCTGATAGCTCTCTTCATCTACAGTGTATCTCAATGAGTAATTTACAAAAAATATGCGATCATCCTTGTGACAGAAACAATTCAATAAATTTATGGAAGAATCTTGACCTGTACCACATTCAGATTTGAAACCTTACCTTTGTCTAAACTAACAAAGAACACTTTTATATGCTACGCACAAGCGTCCATTAAAGCACCTGTGATTTATGAAATAGTTTTAAATATTATATTAAGCATCTTGAATTAATTCCTCGGCGTTATTTTTCCGAGGTGGTTATTTTTTGATCAACGCGTTACTATGTTTATATTTGACAACAAATAAGATGATAAGTATGACGAGACATGGTTAAACTAGAAATAGAAATGTTTCTCAAGTAAGAGTTTTAATTCCGGTACCAGTGTTTTGATGAATCATCTATTCCCGGTATAATGTTAATTACACATTCAAATATTCATATGTGGAGAATGATATCACATATTAGATTATTTGCTTATATGGTATAATGATTACAAAACTAGAAATACCTCAAGATTAAATGTAATATTTGCTAGGTACGCACAATAAATCCTATCGAGGTAAACAAAAAAAAAAATAGAATGAACAGAAATCAAATATGGAGTTAATATTCCAATTTCCTCTTATAGAATATTAATATTATGCAACCAATATTTATATGCCCGTCGTTTTATATTAGCTTATGTGTTCCTATTTTTAACAATCAATCTCACTACAGTATAATTACCATCCATTCACCAGTAAATATTTAATAAAAATAAAATGAATGCTTTTGGATAAACTTATAAAAACGTAGATTCGTCTATGACTCAAAATTTGAATTCGCATTCGGTTTAAATTAATCTAAATATTTATTTTATCTAATGGCGAATAATGCAAACAATCATCGCCCTGCTCAACTACCACAAATCCCGCGATTAACTACCCCGACCCAACAAGAGAACTTACAAGCTCTAGCTCCAGTAGCAATTCCCCAACACATTATTGCTCCAACAGCAATTCCTCAACACATTGCTCCTGCAGCAATTCCTCAACACATCGTTGCTCCAGCAGCAAATCCTCAGGCTTCTCAACACGACCAATTCAATTTAATTCAGGGCAACTCATTTGTAGTAGACACGAATTCTACTTCAGATGCACCGGACTTTGCGAAGACTTTATTTGAAGGAGACAATAATTGGCCTTAAAAAAACAAGAATCAAATCATTTAAAAAAAATATTGTTTCTTCGTAGTTTTTTTTTTTTGTTTTTCTTTTGTTTTTCTTTTATTCGTTTCTTTTTTTTTTAATTCGAGAATCTTCTGTTATAGATTCTTTACCCGTTTTGATTTTTTATAATTCGCATTTCATCAACTATCTCTTTATGCATCATGTATAGATTAAGGAGCACGATTTAAATTCCTATTCTTTATATAAAATAGAATATTCAAACTTTTCTGTAAGTAGAAAAGTGTACTAATATATCTAATTTATTTCGAATCATTAAAATATTAATTCGAATCACCTTGCATAAGTACAATACAGTATTATGGGTCAAAGGAAAATAAAATAGATGTACAAAATAAATTTTTATTGTTGGAGGTGCAATCGGCGAGTTTGTCGCTACCGCCAATCGTGTAGAAAGAGTTTAGATCTGGCACGAGAAGCAGAGATTTTTTTCCCAAAATAAAAGACACGTGTGATGTTCTCCGTATGGCATTTTTACAGCATACGTGCAGCTGCATTTGCATTGTTTTCGAGTGAAATTTCCATACTGTAATAATTATATTTCCGGATTATTAGGCATATGGGTAATTCTTTTTGAAGGCGGACAGGGATTTTTCTGACTTTATAATTGTACTCCTAGAATTTATATTGTATTTGTATTCAAAAAATAAGGATCAAAAAATCGTATATAACATTTTTGTCGTTTTCAAAAAGAATCAGCCATATAGAATCGCGATTTTCACTACATGACGATTCATCTGTAATATAATCATGTGCAACCAATAACTTACTTTTTTTTTGCATTTATGCAGGAGTTCCCGTGATCTGGAAGTTTCACTCGGAAACAATGCAAATGCGGCTGCACGTGTACTGTATAAATATGTGTGAGAACACACCTTCATGTCTTTTATTTTGGAAAAAAAATCTGTGCTGGCGCGAGATAAGTGTATGTTCCCAATTTATCCATTTTGTCCTAACCAATTTTCAAAAAATCCCAAAGACCCTAATTATCCCATAACTTCCTCATAGGTCCAATTAGGATAGTTGAGTCACGTGTTCTACGATCGTTTATTAATAAATGCAAGCAACAGTCTACTGTATTTGATTAATACAATATCTATCATGTGATTCTGCATTTATTATTCTTTTTACTTTACATAATCAAATTATACAAAAATTTATGCAAAAAAAAAAATTTTTTTTATAAATCTTTGTATTATTCAAAAACTTTTGTTTATAGTAACAGGCAAAATTAGAAGGAAAAAAAGCAGCGAACACTTGAAAACCCACTTCCAAAAGTAAATCTTTAAATATACTTTATACTTTTTGAGCAATAAAAACTTAAATAATCATATCTTCTTTATAATTTATAAAAATATATATAGTATGAGTCATAAATTTTTGGAATTGGTTTTTTTAATCTAATTTTTTTAATAATTATAAAAGTTTATAAAAATATTTTTGAAAACATATAGTACAAGATTACTTATTAACATTTTTGATATTTTACATTGTTTTTATATTTAAAATGTATTTTTAATGTAAATTAACAAAAATTGATAAAACAAATTCACTAAAGTTTTATATATGAGTTAATATAAAAACATTGTATAAAATTTTAAATTTTTATAAAAAAATATAATATTTTAAAATTTGTTTTTGTTTATTATACAATGAAAAATTATTTATTTTATATCAAATTTTATAAATCATTTATTTAAAATCTAAAAAAAAAGTTAACTTAAACTTATCTTATAAAATATCTTAATAAAAAATTTTTTTTAAATGTTAAGCGAGGCATTTCTCGTGATCTTTATTAATAGAGTAATTGCAATGTTACATAATTAATATTAAGATACTAAGATACATCATTATGTATATCAGCCTATTACCATTCTAAGTATATTTCTGATAAAAAACCTTGAGGCAAGGAAAAGAAAAAGTAACTATTTAGTTTTGAGGGGCTAATGCCTCCCTAATAATGTATTTTATCCTATACGGACATGGATAAGTTTTGTGAAAATAATTGGAGAATGATGTTAGTTAGTTTGTCATTTTAATTCGTGTTATTGGATATTGTGTTGTTTGAAGTTGTTTGTTGTTGTTGTTGGAGTTGGTGTTTTTTGTTTTTTTGTGTGTTGTGAGATTTGTTGTTATTGTTGTTGTTGGTGTTATTATTATTGTTATTATTGTTTTTTTTGTATTTGGTGTTTTGTGATATGTTGAGAAATTTTTCTTCTGCAATCATCTCTTGATTTTTGGATATCCATATTTGCGTATATAGTAGTTCAAGTGTTTTGTTTTGAATTTTATTGATATTTTTGAGATCAGTATGTGTTGATTTGAGATTTTTGAAGATTATATTTGGTTGGAGGATACCTGTCACAAAATTGATAGTGTCGATATTGGTGTCTAGTAGTTTTTAAATTTGTTTTTTATCAAAATTTTTGTTGTTTTTGAAATTTATTTCCAATAGTATTTGTGTGTCGTTGGTTATTTTTTTGAGTGTTGTTGGGCATTCTTTGCAAGTCCAGAGGTGGTGAGTTGTTTCTAGGTTTGTGCTGCATCATGGACATAGGTCATTGGTATATATGTTTAGAAATGTTGTATGGAGATGTGCTTTTGTAGAAAGAGTGTTGGAGAGAATTTTGAGACAGAAATTGTATAGTTTGGATTGATATTGTGTGATTGGGATAGGTATGTTTTTGAGAAATATTAGAGTTTGTGCGAGAAGTGATAAGTCGGGTTTGAAGGTTGTTTTTGCTCTTTCTGAGTGAATTATTTCTGTTAGTCATTATGTTTTGTTGATTGGCTTGAAATAATTTCTAGTTGGGGTAGAAGATTTTTTTGTATGTTTGTTAGTATGTATTGAATGGGGAAGGTGTCTATAATGTTTATTTGAGGTATGATAGTGTTGATGAATTGTATTTTGAGTATTTTTGTGATAGATTTGTAGAAAGATAAGAGGATTTGGAGAGTTTGCATTATATTGTGGATGTTTGTGATTGTTGAGAAGTAAGGGAGTTTGCATTTTTTCCTGTGATTGGGTGGTGGTAGTACGAAAGTTTTGTAGTTAATTTTGGGATGATTGGAGAAGATTACAATATCTTTTGTTTTGTTGGTGAGTAATATTATTATGATTGTGTGAAGTAAAGCTGGGAATGGTTGTAGATTGAAGTGTATAGTAAATGATTGATAATGTTGCACGTAGTTCCAGGTGACTGTAGTAGTGTTGGTGTTAAGTTTGAATATTAATAGGACTTTCAGTGGAGAGTCCTGAAAGTTAGAAAGGTCTTCGATAATTTTCAGAGATGTATTGAAGAAGTGTTTGTTTTTAAGTGAGTTAGGTAGGTCTGAAGGGATAATTATTTGGGGATTGTTTGTGTTTATGTTGGTTTGTAGAGAGTTGTAAAGATCATTTTTTGTTATTTTTGTTTTGAGCATGTTGTTTGCAATTGGTTTGATGAATAGATTAAGGCAGTTGTGTGGGATGAGTAGTTTGCATTCATGTGTATTGGGATGGATATTGAAGGGACATTTATTGTATTTTGAAATTGTTAGAGATTTGTTGGGATCTTGATTATTGTATGTCCAGTATTTGACTAGTAGATTGTTTTTGTTTGTTTTTTGTTTTTTTCCAATGATTATATTGTTGTTAATAAGAGTCACTATTTATTTTCTTTTTTTGTTGGATTGGGTGGGTATTGTTCCTGTTTGATTAAATTGTAGTTGTGAAAGAATATTGTACCAAAGAGGAGTTTTTCCTTGAGTGTTGCGTTCCAGCCTGGCTGAGATATGTTGTCAGCTTGTAATTTTGTTGTCGTTGAAGTTGAGAAGCTATTCGATGTAGAATAAGTTTTTGTTAGCAAGTTGTTTGGCAAATTTTTTCCAGTTTTTGTGTTGGGAGAGGTAATGGTGTATAGGAGTTATTCCTCCTGGAAGTTTGTGTTAGCTGTTGGATTCTGGGCAGAATATTATTTTGTAGTGTTGAGCTAGAGAGATAGTATATGTTGTGGTATTGTATTTTATAATTTGATGGTTTTGAAAGATATAAAGAGATTGGCAGTTAGAGTTTTGGATTGCTAGGATTTCTGTTTTTTTTATTGGTTTGGTGGTAGGGTTTGTTAGTGAGTACTGAAGATTAGAGATGAGGACTTCATTTTGGAGATCATTAATAGGTTTAATGTTGAAGATATA